GTTGGGTCATCACAACCGGTACATGAACTTCCACCTAAATAGTCATTCATGATTTAGTATCTTGTGTACATAGTTGATCAAACTATTGGTTCAATGGAATGAAAGTTTGAACAATGCAAACAATATGAAAACATTTTGCGTTTTTTATTCACAACCAAAAAGTTGACATCACTGAATACTAGTGAGTTAACGGCATGTTGCAAAAATCTTTAAAAGAGGTTGCAAAATGGTCACATCTCAAACGTTGATGTTGATGATTTATCTAATGAACTAGACTTGTTTCAAAAAAGATTTATCAATTGAAAGTAATATTGCTAATACAATACTAAAATTTTGAAAAATGATTAACACTTATCTAGTTTTTTATCTAACATACACAATACTGTTGACTATTTCCATTACCATTGTATTAACACCAAAAAGCTTTTCAAAACTAAATCTTTTAAAATCTTGTTTTTGCTTGACCATGTCTCAAGAGAGATTAAACACTTTGACTTTAATTTCAGTTGAGAACGAATTTCTTGATAATATTGATGGGGAAAGTGTAATAGGTGAATATTCTTCTAAAAATGCTAAAAAATCGATATTTAGAAAATAGTAATCCATTTTATCTTTTCTTTTGTTAAGTTGGTTGTAACAATTACAACTTATTATTAATGAGTGAATGAACAATGTTGTGGTAGTGAATTTATACGATGTTTGTTAACAAATTTAAATGATGAATTTAATGGTAGCAAAATTACTAAATAAAATTTTACAAAAAAAATATGGGACCTCACTTCATTTTTGCACAAGGCCTCCAGAATGTCAGGACCGGGACCACAACCAGATGTAAATTTGAAGTAATGAAAAATAATTGAAGCATTTCTATCTATACCTGTATGTAGATTTACTTTTCAATACATCTAGAAAAAAAAATTATTTATAGTGAACTAGTTTCTTTTAAATTTTTATTCGTTTGAATATTTATAATAAAAAATATCATTATTCTTCCAAATCATCTTTTTTTCCACATTCACACGTTCAAGAAATGCACTCATTTTTAGATTTTTATAAAGGAGCCATTACTATTGACCCATTAACATAATCTTCCACTAAAAAACATTGATTGTACAAGTATCAGGTTCATTTGGTGGGTTAGGAAGGGGCGGGTCCAATATCCATACTAAATATTGTTCAAGTTATGCTGGTAGTTATAAGAAAACAAAGATATGGTACTCATTTAATCGTCTGCGTGTTAAAATGGTTGATTTGGAAAATGTGTTTGAATTTGAATGGTTATGTTAAAAAGAATATAAATATCCTGCAAAAATATAAAAATCTGCGAAAACGCAAAAACATATTTTATCTTATGAAAATTAAACACATGTACTATAAAAAAATAATTTTATTAGCAATAAATTAAAGATAGTAAATTTACATTGGATGGTCTTATGGTAATATGGATTTAAAGACGGTTTTTATAATTATACCTTTTTCACGTCCTTAATCCTTTTTAAACCAATGTTTTTATAATAAAAATGTTAAAAATCATACTTTGTTAATATGAAACAGTTTATCATCTATCATCGATTATCATCATGTATTTCAAAGTTTGGATGAATTATTTTCCAAAATATAATGTTGAGGTGACATAATATTATAGGTTTTTCGCGTTTTCGCGTTTTCGCAAATTATTTGCATTTTCGCATGAACCCTATATATATATATATATATATATATATATATATATATATATATATATATATATATATATATATATATAGGGATAGGGAATATACAGTATAACCCCACCTAAACTTAGGTAGTAAACCTCTAAAATATTTCGTTTTATAATGCAAAATATACCCGGTTTGGTTTCACTTGGTAAATATATCATCATCCATAACATTTCTTTCTTTCATTATCGTTTTACCATCTCTGTTTTCTTTCTTCAATTATCGTTTATTACTTTACCCAAGTGAACATTACTAAACCCTAAACCTAAACCCTAAACACTAAATTTAAACCCTAAACGTAAATCCTAAACCTAAAATCTAAACCCTAAATCCTAACCCTAAACCCTAAACTTAAACCTAAACCTAAACCCAAAACCCTAAACCTAAAACCATAAACCTTAAACCATAAACCCTTAACCTTACTGTGTCGATCTTGAATTTACATCTTGGAATATTAATCGTGAATCCATTGACCGTAATCTTTATTTAGTAAAACAATTTATTTTCAAGAGGTTTAGTACCTAAGCTTAGGTGGTGCTGTAATGTATATTCCCTTTTCCCATATATATATATATATATATATATATATATATATATATATATATATATATATATATATATATATATATATATATATATATATCATGGTTTATCTTAAAATTGAACAAACTATATCATTTTTTATAAGTTTCCTTGAAAATAAATTACAACTTTTAAATTAATTAACTTCATTTTTAAGTCAGTAACAGTATGAGATTTATTTTAGATGTTAATAATACAAACTTACTTTGGATTTACAAGAAAGAGCCAAAGAAGGTGATGAAATAACACAGGGAATAATATAACGTACAACCTCCTATATATGATATGCTTTTCCCAAGCATTCGCACGTTTGAGGAAGAAGTCTGATAAGAAATATTTTGAAGTGAAAGTCATTCGCCCTAAAAGTTGATTTCTGAAGTAAAACACTCTACTCAAAGATTAAATGTTGTATTGATCGGAACTTTTTTCAAGATAAATTTTTAGTTGTTAGTTTTCGATTAACGAATGAAGATAAATTCTATTTTTAGTTACTATAGTTCTAATTAGAAACAACGATAATGGCAAGCACTTCAATTTTAAAACCAACTATACACAATTTCAAAGATATTCGATTTGACATGTACATTTGCCTTCAGATTAAATCTCTTAGTAGAACTAATTGGAAAACAGATCCAGTAAAGTTATATTGCATTATTATACTCAGCATTAACGTATTGTCTTTTTGATAACTAACTATTTAGAATTTAATCTATTTTTACCATTGTTTATTTCTTTCCAAGATTGTCATGATGAATACAATCCTAATTCCTAAGTGTAATACACACCTTGTGGAAAAACTGGGCATGGCCCATATTTTCCTTTTATTAAAACACCAAAACAAAAAGCAAGAGAAAATGGCTATTATTTAAATCTATCTTAACTTTTTGATTTACCAAGTCAAATTCAGCTATTTTAAAAAGAGAAAACTGTAAAAATGGTTGTTGTGGTTTGTTGATGCATTTGGACGGAGTTCAAATATTTTTATAACTTGGAAATATAATCCTTTTGACAGTGTTTGGTTATACATTAGGTCCTTCTCTTTAACTCCTTGAAATTTATTCAGTTAAGATATGTTAAATGTCAATGATGCCCCTGTTATATTTCACTATTATTTTTTTTTTTTTTGTTTATCTTATCATTTAATACTTCTATTATAACACCATTAGAAAAATCACCCATCCCACATCCCCTAGAATTGCAAATATAACTAAAGCAAGAATAGCTTTACCATCTTTAACATGGCATCGCCCACTATCAGTTTCAAGGATCTTTCTTTAGTTATATTTGCAGTTCTTCATTTTTCTTTGAGTTACTCTTTTGCTCTGGTTGTTGTAATTGATTTCTATTTTCATCATGCTGTAATTTATGATCTTTTGATGGTGTTAATGTCGACTCATTCATTTTGGGCTTAAAAATCTTTTTATTACTGCAGGCTCTCGAGCCCAGTTCAGGTAAGTCGGTCATAATTACGTAAAAGAAATAAAATTAAACGGTTTCAGTGCTCTGTTTTTCTTCATCTCCATGGAATTTCGAGAATTGCAAAAGGCGTTCAATTCTATGCTCAGAGACATATCTCTTTCAATATCTCAATGTACTCTGTTTTTCCATTTCCATGGAAGTCAAGAATCTAAGTATGATTATTAGTGAAGTTTAAGAAACAAGGCAACTTTTAGAACAGCTCATACAGGTTTTTGAATGAAGATGAATAGAGAAGGGTGGGGTTTTAGATCTACCAGGGTTGTAAACGAAGATGGGGAGGGGCATTTTGATGGAAGTGGGGTCTATCTAACTAAAATTATATCAATAATTAAAATTTAATTTAAAATATACAAAGTGGTAAGATAGTAACTTAACACTATCTTAACAAAAATAAATTAACGGTGTTAAAACACAAGGACGTAATCTGTAAAGAAACCTTGTTAAAAGGACTATACTTGCAACTTGGAAACATTTTGAACTCCATCCAAAGGAAGTAACAAACCACATGGGCCGTTTCTGCAGTTTTCTCTTTTAAAAATTAGTAAGGTGTTCAATTTGAAACAACAATAATAGAAACAAGTTTGTTTTCGGTCAAAATCTATTCGACAGGCATATTTTTTGTAAATTTAACCAGAAAACAAAGATAAATATGTCTAAAAATCGAATAATATTATATGGTCACGTGGATAATTTTGCAAAATCATACTGCCTTCCACTAAATGCAAAACCAGGAAAACTCGATCTCCATGTCTTTGATTGAAAATCCACAATTTTGAAATAGTCATCAGTTACAGAGTTGATTATGAAGTAAAACACAGTTTGAGTGTAACTTCTGTTAGCATTAATCAGATTACAAAAATAAATATGTCCAAATAATCAAGTCAAGTTATATTTTTACACATCTAAATTCATCAATATCGTTTAATACAACAACTTGTCTTTTGTAATCAGAGCGCCTTGCTAAATTTTGGATTACAATGAATTTTAATGTTCTAAGAGAAAAAGATTAATGTCATGACAGATACAATTTAAAGTGTAATACACTCCTTTGTGCAAAAATATGACACTAACTGCTAATGTAAACACTCCTTGTGGAAAAATATGTCATAGTGCAAATTTCCTTTCAGTATGTGAAAATAAAAAACAAGAGAAAAAGGTATAACCCAAGTATAAATTAGGAAACGCAAACCATCTTTTTTATAAAACATGGCAAAGCAAATAATGTCTTCTTCAAACTTCTTATTTTTCTCGTTGGCTCTACTAATCATCACACCATCCCCCATACAAAATTTTGGTTCTGCTACATTGGAGGAAGCCAATGGTCTTCTTAAATGGAAAGCAAGTCTTGAAATCCCAAACAACTCCTTGCTCTCTTCATGGCTTCCCCTCCCTATAAATTCCAATGCATCAATTCCATGCACTTCATGGTTTGGAGTAGTTTGCAATGCTGATGAGAGCATTCAGTGGTTGAACCTCAATTCGTCTGGCTTAAAAGGTACACTTCACCAATTTCCATTCTCTTTGCTACACGATCTTACACATTTTGATCTCTATAAGAACAACTTCTTTGGCCCCATCCCACCAGAAATCCGACTCCTCTCCAAACTTGTATATCTTGATTTTCAAGTGAATTGGTTTTCTGGAGTAATCCCACCTGAAATTGGGATGCTAGCAAGTCTTGAGATCCTTTCGCTGACTTTTAATAACCTGACTGGTTCAATACCACAAGAGATCGGTCGATTAACATCTCTCTATCAGGTAGCATTGGCCTATAATCTTCTTCAAGGAGAATTACCTCCAACATTGGGAAATTTGACAAACTTGGCTTATCTATATCTCCATAATAATAATTTATGTGGTCCTATACCCCCTAATCTTGGGAATTTGAAGTCTCTCACTGATCTTGTGATGACGAACAATCACTTAAGTGGTTCTATTCCTTCATCACTTGCGAATCTGAGCAACCTACAGAATATGTACCTCAATGAGAATAAATTCTCAGGTCAAATTCCTACTAACATTGGGGACTTGAAGTCTCTCGTTGATCTTCAGATGAGCCAAAATCAACTTGGTGGTTTTATTCCTTCATCACTAGCTAATCTGAGCAACCTACAGAATATGTACCTCAATGAGAATAAATTCTCAGGTCACATTCCTAGTGATTTCGGGAATTTGAAGTCTCTCCTTGGTATTGAGGCGACTCATAATCAACTTAGTGGTTTTATTCCTTCATCACTAGCAAACCTGAGCAATCTACATTATGTTTACCTTGGTGATAACATATTATCTGGTTCGATTCCACAAGGATTGGGAAGTCTAGAATTGTTTCACCTACAAATGTTCGATAATCAATTATCTGGCCATTTTCCCCAAGATTTGTGCCATGGAGGAAAGCTTCAAATTTTCACAGTAGATGGTAATCAACTCACTGGGCCTATTTCAAGAGGCTTACGGAATTGTTCTAGCTTAATTAGGGCTCGTTTTGATCGAAATCATTTCATTGGAGATATATCCAATAGCTTTGGCATCTATCCACGCTTAGAGTACCTTGATATCAGTCACAATAATTTTCACGGGCAGCTTTCTCAAAACTGGAGTAAATGCAAGAATTTGACAGCCTTAGTGATGGCCTATAACAACATCAGTGGTAGCATACCACCAGCGTTTGGAAATTCAACTCGACTACAAAGACTTGATCTTTCTTCCAATCATTTGGTAGGTGAAATCCCAAAGGAGTTTGGGAAGATGAAAAGTATGTTGAATTTGTCTTTGGCTAATAACCATCTTTCAGGTATTATACCTACAGAGTTTGGATATTGTGAACTCCTTGAAGTACTCGATCTATCTACAAATAGATTGAATGGGTCAATACCAAGAAGTATTAGTCAATGGAAGCATATCCACTACTTGAATCTTAGTAACAACAAGCTTAGTGAGAACATTCCATCCGAAATTGGTAAATTAGTTCAACTTACAGAAGTTGATTTATCTCAGAATTTGCTCACTGAAGAGATACCATCTGAAGTTCAAAGTTTGAAAAATCTACAAAAGTTGAATCTTTCTCACAATACACTGTCTGGTTCCATTCCTAACGCTTTTACAAGTTTGCCCAGTGGGATTGACATCGACCTGTCCGACAATGAGCTCACAGGTCCAGTTCCTCTTTGCTCTAACTTTCTGAACGCATCTTTACAAGGCAATCCAGGTTTGTGCGGAAATTTTACAGGACTAAAATCATGTGCACGTCAAATCCTGAAGAAGAAAAATGATCTCTTTCATCATCGGATCATTCTTGTAATTGTGCTCCCTCTTATCGGGGCAATTTCACTTGGTTTTTTTATATGTGGCCTAATCGCTTATCGAAAACAAAAGAGACATTCTCCACAGAAACCATTTGGCAAAGAAGGTGGTGATTATTTCTCCATAACAAGTTTCGATGGAGGAGTAGCATATGATGACATCTTGAAAGCAACGGAAAATTTTGATGAAGCATATGCTATTGGGACCGGAGGATATGGGACTGTGTATAAAGCCCAGCTACAGCCTAACAATGTGGTAGCTGTCAAGAAACTTCACTCATCATCTGAGAATGTTGATCAAAATGGATTCCTTAATGAGGTAGGAACATTAACGAACATAAGGCATCGAAACATAGTGAAACTCTATGGATATTGCTCACATGCCCGCCACTCGTTTTTGATTTATGAATACCTTGAAAAGGGAAGCCTTGGATCAATCTTAAGAAGCGATGTCTTAGCAAAAGAATTGGATTGGTTGAAAAGGGTCAATATTGTAAAGGCTGTAGCTAATGGTTTGGCTTATATGCATCACGATTGCTCACCTCCTATAATTCATAGAGACATTTCCATTGCCAACATCCTTCTTGATTCTGATTATGAGGCACACATTTCTGATTTTGGCACATCCAAGCTTTTGAAGCTAGACTCATCCAACTGGACCACAATCGAAGGAACACATGGCTATATCGCACCAGGTAATGTAATTTTGTGATGTTAGTTCTACATTTTTTTTTAAGTTTCATGATATATATGAATAAGTATATGTATATGTATGTGTATCTATGTTTTAGAATCTTGTGAGGTTGATATAACATTTTTTGTTTTTATCTCTCGTATTTTTGGATGTAGAGCTTGCTTATACGATGGTGGTGACGGAGAAATGCGATGTGTATAGCTTTGGGATCGTGGCACTAGAAGTGATCATGGGAAAGCATCCTGGTGAACTACCAACATTGTCTGCTGATTATCTGGTGTTAGGAAATGTTGGAGATAGTCGGATTCCACTTCCTTCTCCACAAATTGAGAAAAAAGTTAATATGGTACTCAATCTCTCTAGAGCGTGTTTGAACTCCAATCCAAAAGAAAGACCAACAATGCACCAAGTTTCAAATCTGTTGATGAAGGCTTGATGTTAGTGTACTTTGAATGTTATTTGCTTTTGTCTTGTTCCCTATATGCATCCTGATAATATGTATTTATATGAATGCCTTTTTGTTATGAAACTTCTCATATGTTTTCTTAAATCATTATGTAATAGATAAAATAAATAAATAAATAAACTTCTCATTTGGTGAATTTTTACACTTTGGGCATCGACTCCATACCATAAATCTCAAATTCAAGAGGGTTGGCAATGATTTGATGCTATGCACCACCTAACTCAAATTCAATCCTCCAGCTTATAGTAATTTAAATTTGTTTACACACAGTTGGCTTGTTAAATGGAATGGAATGTGTATCATTTGAAACACAAACAGGGTACCTTTCCTCTCTGCTTACTCTCTTTGTCAGAGGTCAAACATGATTTCTTTTTTATACATAGAATCAATTAATGTTATATAAAACGCTTCTTCATCTCAATAATTCTTCCATGTGTATTGCAAGAACCAAAATGGCACCTGTAGTATCATGGATTCTCTATAGATCATGAAAATATTGCAAGTTGTTCAGTTTATGAAAATTGTTACTGCAAACGAACTAACATAAAGGTTCTCCACAATATTGATGGGCATCAAACTTTTTTTCAAAGACATGATATTTAATGTTGAACCATTTATTTTTGAAAAGACATCATAAGAAGATTAACTTGCAATAATAACAAGGAAAGTTTTTAGTTCAACTGAAAGTGTAATTGCCTGGGAATCATAACTAGTCTCATATTGTATTGGGTGTGTACACTTTTTGGGTCAGAAACTTAGAATTGACAAATATTTGGTGATGGGTACTTATCTCTTTTAAATATTCTTTGTTTTCTAATGCTCTATGAATTCTAAACACAGCGTTATGAACAAACCATACAGCTAATGTGGCATTAAATTTGAATAAAAAAAAGTAATTCAGTCATTTCATCAAACACTTGGTATGTATTAAAATCAAATTTTTAAACAAGCAGTTTTAAATGAACCTACAAGGAGTGTTGGAAGTCGATAGTAAAAGAACAGGAGGAAAGAAACCATTGCATACCTTTTAATAGAAATCCACTTCAACAGTGATGAACGCTTCGACCAATCCACTTCAAACACATTTCGATCGCTCTGCTACTACTATGGAAATGATTCACACTGATGAAAAATCAGCAATCCGTTTAAATCAATAAATTTTCTGTGATTTTGATGGATTCAAGTGATTTGGTATGATGATTGATTGAAATAGAATTTATATGATAATAAAGGATTCAGATGATTTGGTTATCGTTTCTGCACTTGGAATCGACAAGCAGGAGAAGGAAGAAGGTCGTATTGGACAGAGGGGATGGTGTGTGTGTGTGTGTCTGGGGGGCGGAGTTATTGTCAAATAGAAAATAGAGTTATTATTGGGTTTTATGTTCAACGCTAATCTCTTTTATTTTTATTTTTTTAAAAACCCTCTTACATTTCGTAAACTTTTTTTTTCGTTTGTGTTTATCTATTCGGGTTTGTAGGTAATCTTTAGAAATTTCCACATTTTTTTAAAAATATAATACTTTCATTTGACAAAGTTTTTCCTATTGTTGTAGGGTTCAAAAACATTTATAAACTGAATCGATGATTATGTTTTTTTTTTTAAGAATCAGTAACCTCGATCAAGAACAAAGCCAACAAAGCAAAATACTATTTTCCATGTAATAGTGACTATATAAGGTTCACTAGATTGTTTTATAAATGTACGCATATTATAAGATTATAAAAAAAATTTATACATAGCACATCCATACTTACGTATTATATCTTCTCTCATTTTCTTTGCATCGAACAGGATTACCATTAATACACGAAATTTCACCGAACTAAGCAATAAAAAAACTTACATATTGTAATGATGAGATTATGTATAACTTCTACTTTTTCTTCCATAGATACCTACGGATATGGAAAATTTGCGGGCAAGCATAAATCTTGTTTGTATTCACATTAAAATTGAAATTAACTGCAGAATTTCTTGTATATATATATATATATATATATATATATATATATATATATATATATATATATATATATATATATATATATATATATATATATATATCCAACATTGTTTGCATAATATGTTTCTATGTTGATTATACCACACATTTTCTTGATAATCATGGAGGCTATTCATGTCCCTTTTCATTCCTCCATCTTATAGTTTTTATATTTTTCAATATAATCAATAACTGTGATCCATGATGTCGTCTCACTGTCCGACGTTTCTGCCATCGGCTGGGGTGTGATAGATTGGTATCAGAGTTATTGCTACAGTGAATTACTAGTTTCTTAGGAAATTACAACTATACCTTTAGGCTTACTACTCTGATTAGGTTTATCCTTTAAAACTAGAAAATAAAAATTATTATTAATTATATTACCAATTGACTACTTACGAGAGAGGTGACAAGGATAGACACGTTGCTTAGGTTGTTGGATTTCAGAACGACTATACGCCAAAATGACCTTGCCCTCCGACTATCCTGGCTAGTCCTAACTTGATAGTTGTGAGGTACTAAAAAAATTAATAAAACACACAACAAACATAAAAATCAGATCTAAAGTTTATATAAAACCCATATACACGATGAGAACACACATATATACTTCAAACATGTAGAAAACTCGAACCCTCGAAGAGAATACAACTCAAGAATTTAGGTCAAATACAATATCTAAAGTTATTGTCGTACAACGACCAAACCATAATTAGACCTACCTTATGCACCTAAGTTTTATTATGGTCCGACCGACGCACGACTGGACTTGATATGGTAGTTGGTAAACTAAACATTAGAGGAATTATATGGGATTGAAGAGATGGTTCCAAGACACATATCTGATATTCACTGCATAGGAATTATGCAAAAAATTTACACTAATTACAACTAAAATAGTCATTGGGACTCACATTGTATGACTAACAAAAGTACTTCATACGACTTATACTTCCTTTAAACATGTTTATAATTGGACATAAAGCATGCCCATAAGACGAGTTACCCGACGCAATCCATGACCAACGCTTGCTGAAACACCAATTATAGACGTAGTGGTTATTAAGGCACTAGTTTCACAATGAGTCATAAACATATTAGCTAGCTGCAGAATCAATGAAAAACTCTAGATCTAGGCATGGTGGTAATGGAGGTGGAGGTGGAAGTTGCTCCTAAAATGACAACAAGGGAAGTTCAAGAACCTGTACTTACAAGGATTTCATGAACTATAAGCCCAAATCGTTTTATGGAAATAAAGGAGTGGATAGTCTGACCCGGTGGATAGAGAAAATGGAATCGGTGTTCCATATAAGTTTATGTGTGAAGGATTGCAAAGTCAGATTGCACGTTCGTTGACGCAGCTTTAACATGTTAGAATGACCATGCTAAAATGATGGGCATCAGCACCGCCAATTCCATGACTTGGGAGGATATAAAAATAATGTTGATTGAGGAATACATCCCTAGGGATGAAATGCAAAACCTAGGGCAGGATCTTTGGAACCTTACGATCAAAGATTCCGAAATTGCATCATATACTGCTTGCTTTAATGACGTTTCTTCCTTATGCCTGGGATTTGTAACCCTAAATACATGAAGATCGAGTGGTACATTTGCGTTTTGCTCGCAAATCAAGGGTCAGTCACTGCCTCACGACCAACCACTTTTAACAATGTAAAGCGCATAGCCTTCAATCTGACTAAAAGAGGGTATTCGTCAACGAACCATGATTTAAAAAGGCTAACCATCCTACGTATAGGAATAACAAACAAAAATATGGTAGCGAATATATGGGGAATTCAAATGTAATGTCCAAAAAAAGATACCCGAAAATTTTCATTTTTAAATTAATAAAATAGTAGACCATATCATTGTCATAAAACCAAGTTAATCAAATTCTATTAATAAATAATCATCATCAAAGTAAGTCACATATTGTGGAATCGAATGGTGTGTGTTGTGTACTCATCCCGACCTCTTCCCTTTGAAACCCGAAGCACCTAAAACATAAACTAAAAATCGTAAGCCAAAGCTTATTGAGTTCCCCAAAATACCAGATACTATGCATACATAAATAAACACATAATGGACCCCGCCTGACATCGAGCCTTGCTTGGTATACAAATCTGTTAGTCATCGGGCCCCGTCTGACATACATATAAACATATAATCATATAAACACATAACACATGAAAATATTGCAAAGATACATAGCATACAAAATGTTCATCGCCCCCCACTCGTGATCGGGCACCGCCCAGCAAGCATACGAGCACATAACACATGCAAGAGTCATGCACACATCTAGCATCCTATCAGAAAAAAAACATCGGCTGGCATTGGTGCCTTCGACCCGCTAAACAAGGCGAGGAAACACACCTCAAACTGCCAAATTGCACAAACAAAAGCTCGAGTAGCCGATCCAGAAAATCCCCGTGCTATCAACATCAAATAATAGTAATGAATAATTTCTTCTCGACCGAAAACAGTATTCTAGACCAATGCCTAAACCTTCATGGTAAAAGTCCATTTTACCCCTTTCCATTCTTTTCTAAAATCCAAAATCCAATCCACTAGCATCATGAGTCCAAATCCCTTAAATGGCACCATAAGGACCGATAAGGCCCAACCATCTAAATTGAACCCAAAACCCATCATGTGCCTAACCGAGAAGGCCTAATATCCTAAAAGGCCCATAATATCCAATAGTCAACCATGGTCAAACTTTTCGTCAATGGAGAAAGTCAAAAAGGTCAACACATTAAGAAAAATTAAACAGATTGAGCACACCTCTCGTACTCAGTTGGTACACTCATCGCACATCGGCTCGACTTAGTACGCGTTGCGTACTACGAGGTACACCCCACATACACACCGTGATCGTATTCCACTTAGAAAGGGTCTTAATCCCTTAAGCAAAAATGTCCAATGCCCAAATCTAGTTCCAAATCATGCCTTAATCCATAAAGTCATTGACTTTGAGCTTTTACATGGCTCAAGGACCCAAATCCAAGTTCTAACTTTACAACTTCAAAAAAGGGATAATACACATACATGGATTGATATTATCCATCTAAATTTCATTTTTATGCTTTAGTACACCTAAAATGTCCATATTTAA